AGGCTGTGCTATGGGTGGCGGGCTCTCCGACGGTTGCTACTGTTTGGCACAGTTGCTATTACTACACATGGCTTGCGGAATCCGGCCGTTCCGAAGCGGCGGTTGTTAGTTCTCAGTTCTCTCGCTCTTGATCAACGATTGGCCTGATGGGTATGCCGGGCGTCTACCATACACACAAAGGCTGCTGCAGGCCTATAAACTTCAAAACACAAGGCCAGCAGTGAGGTGACGGATGTGCGTCAAGAGGCTTGACTTGACTTGTTCCTGGTTGCTGCGCCAGAGATGGAGGATGTCGTGAGGCGACTTGAAGCTACGCACTTGAAATTCTTTGTTTTGTTATGGAGGTCTTGCAATCTGACCGAGGGGTCTTCAAGTCAGTTGCTATGGAGGTTTGTGTCGAGTGTTAAAGCAGGAAAAGTTGTCAGAACCCGGGAGCTGCTTCGCACGTTTCTTCGAGAGGCGCTTTTTCCATCGCCTAGGCTTTTCCATGGGTCACGTGGCACCAAAAGATGCCGCAGCCCTAGCCCTGGTAATGCCTTTCGACTCTGTTCCAACTCTGTACGGGCCTGGAGTCTGGAGCTTGAGGAGGTGCTGTCTGGCGCCGGCAGACACGTCTGATCAGACTTGATTGGACTTGTCCCTTGCTGATGCGTGCTGTGTTTCCTTCCAACAGTGAAACCTGTCGGAACATGAAAGCTGCATGGCGGTGGCTTGAAAAGCTGTGTTTTGTGGATGGTGTTCGATGTTTTTCCAACTGCTGTCTGAGCCACTCTCTCCAGGAGAACCTCAAAAGTGCTGTCTGGCACCAGCTCATGGCGAGCTTAAACGAAATGCTGTCTTGGCACCGGGGCACGGAATGCTCCGGCTCGAAACAACCGGACCTAACTGCTGTCTTGGCACCAGAGAAAGGAGTGCTGGTTTGGCACCAACTCTTGGTGAGTGAAGGAAGTGCTGTCTTGGCACTGTGTCACGGGGTGCTCAGATGGAGCGCCGTCTGTGAGAAGTTTACATGTTTGTTTTAGGCATGAGCTGGACTTGCCGGCTCATGCATGGACTCACATTCTAGACTGATCTAGGTCTTGGTACTGTATTGGGTGACTGCGGCTTGATCATGCAACAAGTTGCTGCAGGGGGACGTGGATAAGAGCTTGCCTGTGATATTGGGCTACTCGGTTCCTGATCAACAAAGGGGGCCAGGCGAGATCCGGAAAACGGTTTTTGCGACACCCAGTTTTCCAAGAGATTTCACCATTTAGAATCTGTGGGTCGGTTTCCGATTTCAGTTGTTTGCTTCGCACTAATTATGCGAGCACGTTTTCCTTTTCCTACAACAGTTTCTGCTACACAATTCTCGCTTCGCAGGACAAAACAGCGAAGGGTTTAGTCTTAATTATTTCCGCAAGCAGCAATTAAAATAATGTAAATAATTCAATCAACCGGCCATTTAATTTATTTAAACTATTTTAATTGTTGCTTGCAGTAATATTTTAAATAATTCAAATAATTTACATATTTTGAATCGCCGGGTGGCCGGGTGCCGCGATAATTTCAATAGTTTACATAATTTAAATCCCCGGCCATTTAAATTTTTTGAATTATTTAAATTATCTGGCTTGTCGCGACACCCGGCTACCCGGCGATTTAGATTATTTAAATTGTTTCAATTATTTCGGCGAGCAGCAATTAAAATAATTTAAATAATTCAATCAACCGGCCATTTAGTTCATTTAAGTTACTTTAATTGCTGCTTGCGGAAGTAATTGAAATAAATTAAATATTTTAAATCGCCGGGTGGCCGGGTGTCACGACAAGCCAGATAATTTAAATAATTCAAACAATTTAAATGGCCGGGGATTTAAATTATGCAAATTATTTGAATTATCGCGGCACCCGGCCACCCGGCGATTTAAATTATTTGAATTAATTTGATTTCTTAAAGTGTTTAAATTTTTAAACTATTTAAATTATTTAGACTATTTACATTATTACTGCAAGCAACAATTAAAATACTTTAAATGAATTAAATGGCCGGTTGATCGAATTATTTAAAATATTTTAATTGCTGCTTGCGGGAATAATTTAAATAATTTAGATAATTTAAGTAGTTTAAATCGCCGGGTGGCCGGGTGTCGCGACAAGCCAGATAATTCAAATAATTTAAATGGCCGGGGATTTAAATTATTTAAATTATTCAAGTTATCCCGGCACCCGGCCACCCGGCGATTTAAATTTATTCAAATTATTTAAATTACTTAAATTATTTCGGCAAGCAGCAATTAAAATAGCTTAAATAATTCAATCAACCGGCCATTTATTTTATTTAAAATTTTTTCATTGTTACTTGCAGTAATAATTGAAATAATTTAAATAATGTAAATAATCTAAATCGCCGGGTGGCCGGGTGTCGCGACAAGCCAGATAATTTAAATAGTTTAAATGGCCGGGGATTTAAACCATTTAAATTTTCGCGGCACCCGGCGATTTAAATTATTTAAATTATTACTGCAAGCAACAATTAAAATAATTGAAATAAATTAAATGGCCGGTTGATTGAATTGTTTAAACTATTTTAATTGCTGCTTGCGGAAATAATCTAAATAATTTAAATAAATTAAATCGCCGGGTGGCCGGGTGTCGCGACAAGCCAGATAATTTACACAATTTATGTATTTTAAATGGCCGGTTGATTGAAGTATTGAAATTATTCTTAATTGCTGCTTGCGGAAATAATTTAAATAATTTTAATTATTTAAATCGCCGGGTGGCCGGGTGTCGCGACAAGCCAGATAATTTAAATAATTTAAATGGCCGGGGATTTAAATTAATTAAATTATCGCGGCACCCGGCCACCCGGCGATTTAAATTATCTAAATTATTTAAATTGTTTAAAATATTACTGCAAGCAAATAAATTTAATGGCCGGTTGATTAACTTATTTAAATTATGTTAATTGCTGCTTGCGGAAATAAGTTAAATAATTTGAATAATTTAAATCGCCGGGTGGCCGGGTGTCGCGACAAGCCAGATAATTCAAATAATTTAAATGGCCGGTTGATTGAATTATTTAAATTATTTAATTGCTGCTTGCGGAAATAATTTAAATCGCCGGGTGGCCGGGTGTCGCGACAAGCCAGATAATTTAAGTAATTTAAATGCCCGGGGATTTAAACTATTTAAATTATTTAAATTATCGCCACCCGGTGAATTAAATTATTTAAATTATTACTGCAAGCAACAATTAAAATAATTTGAATAAATTAAATGGCCGGTTGATTGAATTATTTACATTATTCTTAATTGCTGCTTGTCGAAATAATTTAAATAACTTAAAAAATTAAATAATTTAAATCGCCTGGTGGCCGGGCGCCGCGACAATCCACATAATTTAAATAGTTTAAACGGCCGGGGATTTAAATTATTCAAACATTCACTTCATCACCGGCACGTGGGTCTATTTAGAAGCGCTGCTTTTTGATTTCAAATACGGTGTAATACTGTTAGGATGTATAGCCTATTTCTAGCACGTTTCTGCATATGCTTGCATAAGCTTGAGCATTAGGGAGTCGCGCAGCCCCTTCTTGCCCGAGTGTGAGCAAAATAAGTAGCACCGGGCGTCAGGCAACAGGTTTATAGGGTACCTCAAACCCTTGCATGGTAGCGGAGCCCTGGGTGTGAGCCAGCTCCGGGACAGCGGGTAGTCCCGCACCGGCCCCAGAAGCGGGAGGTCCGCTCTGGGATAGGCACTTGCGGGCCGCCCCAGTGCCAAGGGAGGCGCCAAGACGGCAAGGCCAAGGACAAAGACCTTCCCAAGAAAAGAAACAAACGAGGGCAACGGTCTGCAGAGGCCACCCAACGGAGAGAGCAGAGAGGACAGGCGAAACGCCTGGCTCGGCCCTTGACAGGGCAGAGGCCGAGGAAGGCCGGGTTCATCGTGGTATTGACCTCTACCGCCGGTGAAGCCAAGGCCAAGGACGAGCTCGGGAAGGCCACCGTCGACTGGTGGAGGCCAAGCCAAAGGCAGAGCTACGAGCGGATCAAGTGGAAGAAGGAGCGCAAGGGGCGCAAGAGGCGATCCCACAATCCTCGGGTGACCCTCAAGTCGGTAGCTCGGGAGGCTCTATTGCCAGCAAGAACTGGCACAGGGCGGACTTCCGCCAACATCGAAGGCTCCCGAGAGGCAGCGTGGGAGAAAGTATCAAGAGGAAGGCCGGGATCGGTGAAGCCTGCTCTTCCTGTGACGAGCGCACCAGCAGCGCTCGGCTCCCAATCCGACGCCGGTTCTTCGAAGGTTTTCCGGGCCGGAGCAGAAGAAAAGGGTGGGCGAGGCTTTGGCACAACAGGGGAAGCCAAAGCCAGGGCAACAGCAGGAGGAGGAAGAGGAAGAGGACACTTCCTCGGATCCGGGTTCCAAGCCGGACTTTGATCCACCCAGCAGCCCCGATGGCGGAGCAGGGGCAGCACACGCAGCAGCCCCAGCTGCTGTTGGAACAGCAGCTTAGGGAGGCAGCGGCGGCCATCAGGTCGCTGCAAGGGCGCATGGAAGGTCAGGAGGCTGAGCTTATCGTGCTCAGGGCCACAGCGGCCGCAAGGCCAAGGGCGAGCACCCTTGATACAGAGTTGGGTGTGGAGCCAGACTGGTCCTTCGTTTTCGAGGCCTACATGTCGTGTGTGGATCGGAGGTACATAGAGCTATTTGAGCGGGTGAGGTTCTGCGATACCACGTGGAACAACCGCAGTATGACTGCGGCAGAATGCGAGCTCAGTATGCAACTTTACTACATGCTCGCCATGCTCCTCCAAGGGCGTGCCCTAGATACCTGCCAAACGGCAGGACTAGGGGAAGGCTTCGAAACATACAGGCGGCTGGTCGCCGAATATAAGCCCCGCCTGCATCCCGATACGTCGGGACCCTCACCCAGATGCTCTCGACAAAATTTTCTACGGATGTCGAGGCAGACCTGCCAGCGTTTGAGAAAATGGTGAGGCGCTATGAGCAAGAGATGGGCATCGTCATGAATGCCGTGACCGACCCGGGCTTGAAGGACCACCTTATCCGGAACGCGGTCCGTTTGAAGACCTATGTGGCTCTTAAGGAAGAGCTGCTAGAAGTTGCCCGCACCAGCCGGGTGCTGAACTCCCAGCCGGTGCCAATGGACATCGGTGCTGTGCCGGGAAAAGGAAAGCCGAAGGGAAAGGGCAACCAAGGTAAGGATAAGGGTAAGAAACGGGGTGGCGGGAAGCCCAGCACCCCAGCTCCAAAGGCGAACCCAAATAAGAACAAAGAGTGTCACTACTGCCACAAGCTAGGGCATGTTTCAGCAGAGTGTAGAAAGAGACTAAAGGACGAAGCCGACGGCAAGGCTAAGAAAGGTGACAAAGGAAAGAGCAAAGGCAGGAAGAACCGCCCTCACGCGGCAAGCCCCGCTGAGGAGCCCGAACCCCTTTCTGCGACACCTGCTGAGGACGACCCTGGCAGCTACGTGGCGGCGCTGACGGCCGGCCAAGGTTCAGAAGTGCTGGTCGGCACCGGGGCAGGGTCGCACCTCTTTGTTAAGGGTTTTGACCCTAAGTCCCGGGTTGTTAGCGATGGTGGTGGTAGGGGTTTGGTTGCTGTTACCGGGGAGCCCCTAACCACAGGCCCTAAAAGACAAAGTGTGGTTCAAGCCCGTGACGGGCAGAGCTTTTCGGTGGAGTACAATGAATCGGAGAAAATCAACTTCTCCGTTTTGTCTTCCTGCCAAGCAGCTGCCAAAGGCTGCTGGACTATCATAGGTCCAAACAAGCACTGTTTGGTGCTTGACAAGAACGCTGCGAAGGTGCGCGAGGCACTCAAAGAGACAGCCTGCATCCCTCCAGAAAAGAAGCGAGGGGTGTACTGGCTGCTAGCAAGGCACCGGAAGAGGTGCAGGTCCTGGCCGCGCAAAGAAAGTCGTCCCGGCTAAGGTCGAGGACGCGGAAGGGCAGAGTGCAGATGGCACCGCCCGGGTTGAGGATGCGGGTAGCCCAGCTGAAGGAAGTGCGGGTGGTCCCGCCATGGAGGCCGGTGCGGGTGGCCCCGCCGAGGCCCCATCATCACCAATGGAGCTCCCCAAGATCGGGGAACCCACTGGGGAAGTATCGGAGGCCACCAGGAAGCGCCCGGCAAAGAAGATACCCGATACGGTCAGTGTGCAAGAGTTCCAGGAACATGCGCTGACCCACTTCCCGTACAGACATTGGTGTGAGTCTTGTGTGGCTGGCAAGAGCCGGGAAGACCTCCACCATCTTCGAACACCAAAGGAAAGAAAAGGGGAAGTGCCAAGGGTTTGCTTGGATTATTGCTTCTTGGGTCGGGCCCTCAAAGGTGAAGTTCCCAAGGAAGCCAAGACCCTGGAAACTCCAATGGATGAGGCAGATGGTTTGCTGCCTGTGTTGGTTATGGTGGACCAGGAGACCGGGTGCACCTTCAGTGCTGTAACGGCAAAGGGCGTGAATGCCTACGCGGTTCATGTAGTGGTGGAAATGCTGAAGTTCCTTGGGCGACAGCGAGTCATCCTGATGACCGACGGCGAGCCCGCCATTAGGTCCCTAGCGGAGGCCGCTGCAAAGCAGATCGGTACGGGAGCCCAGCTTCAGCATGCTCCGAAGGAGACCCATGGACAATCGAATGGGGCAGCAGAGCGCGCCATTCTTGAAACCGCCCGGCAAGTGAGGACACTGGCGCACGCCGTGGAAGCAAAGTACCCTGGCCTCCACATCACCAACGAAACGGAGTTGTACCCGTGGTTGGTCCGGCACTCTGGCTGGCTGATCACGAGGTACCTGGTCAAGGCTGATGGGCGCACCCCATATGAAAGGCTAAGGGGAAGAGAGTACAAAGGAGAGATTGTGGAACCGCTGGAGACGGTACAATACAAGATTGACAAGGATCGTCGAGGAAAACTCGACCCCCAGACCTCCATTGGAATATGGTTGGGAAAGTCACTGCAAAGTGATGAGCACCTGATCGGAACCAATTTGGGTATCAGGAGGTGCCGCTCGGTGTGGCGAAGGGTCGAAAACAAGAGATGGGAAGGGCCACGCCTAAGAATGTATGTCGCGGGGGGGGGGGGGGGGGTACAGCATTTGAAGAAATACATTTCTCTGGCCCGGGCCAGATAATTCGATTTCGAGGGGGGGCTGATATACATTTCTGCCGGTTGCCAGGCATGCTGTACTGAAGCCCGAATGCAGCACAACAAAGCAAAAAGTGTGTGTGTGTGTGTGTGTGTGTGTGTGTGTGTGTGTGTGTGTGTGTGTGTGTGTGTGTGTGTGTGTGTGTGTGTGTGTGTGTGTGTGTGTGTGTGTGTGTGTGTGTGTGTGTGTGTGTGTGTGTGTGTGTGTGTGTGTGTGTGTGTGTGTGTGTGTGTGTGTGTGTGTGTGTGTGTGTGTGTGTGTGTGTGTGTGTGTGTGTGTGTGTGTGTGTGTGTGTGTGTGTGTGTGTGTGTGTGTGTGTGTGTGTGTGTGTGTGTGTGTGTGTGGTGTGTGTGTGTGTGTGTGTGTGTGTGTGTGTGTGTGTGTGGTGTGTGTGTGTGTGTGGTGTGTGTGTGTGTGTGTGTGTGTGTGTGTGTGTGTGTGTGTGTGTGTGTGTGTGTGTGTGTGTGTGTGGTGTGTGTGTGTGTGTGTGTGTGTGTGTGTGTGTGTGTGTGTGTGTGTGTGTGTGTGTGTGTGTGTGTGTGTGTGTGTGTGTGTGTGTGTGTGTGAAGTGTCAGAACCCTTCACAAGTCCGTCACATGTTGTCATGAAGCAAGATTTCTGATTTGTTCCAGATGGGTTAGTCCCACTACTGCCCGGTTCATTCACCGAGAGCCGGGCACACTATAATGTATATTTGGGGGGGTCTGGCTACCAATCCCCCTATTTATATACATTTCAGCCCTGGCTCACTCCCGGGAATGCATAAGGACACCACGAGGATGCTCGCAACAAACACTGAACAAACAGAATACCTCAGAATACTCATAGACGGCTACTGCAGCAAGACTACGGCCCGGCGCATCCACCGAGAACCGGACACACGTAATGTATATTTGGGGGGGTCTGGCAGGAGTACACGAGCATTCCCTGACAACCCTCCACGACCCCTAGGCATGATCTAGGCACGGCGGCCATCCACCGTACAGCGCCGGAGCTGCTGGGTACTGCTGCCAAGTAGCTAGCTGGCAGCTCCTAATGGCTTGGGGTGGCTTTGGGGCCACTGACAAACACAGTGCGAAGACAGAGCGGCGCCAACCGGGGTGGAAAGAATGTCGATTGAGTGTCGAGTGCATGAGCAGTGCATGTGAAGCCAGTGTGAACGAGTGCATGTGAAGCCAGTGTGAAGTTGTGAGAACCTCGAAAACTGTCGCAAACGAGAACCCTGCCAACCCCCTAATATTATACATTCCCCCCGGCCGGTTAAAGTATATTCGAGGGGGGGCCTGTCAAAACCGTTTGGGTGAGGGGGTAGACGGGACATGAATAAGCTGAAGGCTGTGGTGGGCACACCGTGGCAGCCCAAGGGCGATGCCACAATGACTCCAGGCCAAGGCGGCAGCCCACCTAACCTTGATCGCAAGGAGCGGTCAGCTTACATCACAGTAGAGAGGCAGCTGAAACACGGGCCCACACCAGGGTGTCCGGGATGCCACTGTGATGACAATGACCCGAAACCACACAATGATGAATGCAAGGCAAGATTCAACAAGCTCTACCCCCGAACCACTCGGTCGGTGGAAGGAGAAATGGATGTTGATGCGGAAGGACCCGCTCAGCAGAGGGATTCCCCAGGATCCCCAAAGGACGCGGGTGGCACCGCTCAGCAAAGGGATTCCGCAGGATCCTCAAAGGAGGCGGGTGGCACTGCTCAACGGAGGGAGCAGGATCCTCAAAGGACGTAGGTGGCACTGCTCCAAGGACACCAGTCACCAGACCCAGCCAAAGCTCTAGCTCTGCTGGCAACCAAGCCACCAAGAGAGGGAGCGATGGTTCAAAGGGTCCCAGTGCCAAGATAGCCAAAGAGCAAAGGAAGGGTGGCGAAAAGAGAGCCGCTGAACTTTCCTTGGAGGAGGCTCTCGCCCAAGACGTTACCCTTGAAGACGAGGTTCCTTTGGTTGCAGGGTACCCTGAGACAGGTACCGTAACGCAAGCCTTCGACGAACGAACAGGCGAGGAACTACCACTTGAGAAAGTGAAACATGCTCGTGGGCGAGAGTTGGACAAGATGCTGGAACACAGCGTCAAAAAGGACATCAGCTGGGAAGAAGCGCGGAGGCGCAAGCTGAAAATAGTTAAGTCTCGTTGGGTGGACGGCTGGAAGGTCTTGCCAGACGACCCGGAAGGAGTCAGGTCAAGATGCGTCGCCCAGGAGATTAACAATTACCAGCGCGAAGATGTCAGCTCAGGCACACCTCCTTTAAAAGCGCATCGCATGGTGCTAGCACACGCAGCGACACGCCGCGCTGAGGAGGCTGAGCACACCAAGCTCATTGGCCGCTATGATGTTAGCAGAGCCTTCTTTCATGCCGAGGCCACCGGAAAGATAGCGGTAGTGCCGGCGAGGGATGTAGATGAAGGCCACCTCTGGTACTTGCTGAAAGCCATGAATGGCACAAGGGAGGCATCGAAACAGTGGTCAATCAAAATTGCCAAGACAAAGAAAAGGCACGGCTTCTTGGAAGTCGCAAGTGTACCTGGACTGTATTACCATCCAATCCAAGACCTGCCGGTCTCCTGCCACGGGGACGATTTCCTTCTCCCGCGTATTGGTCCAGCACACTGCGGAGGGCAATGCACCCAAGGCGACCATCTGCACAGAAGGATCTCATGGGGCCCCAAGGGTTACACATGGGAGGCAGATGAAAAGCACGTGGAGGTCTTGGTTTCCGGACTAGGACTTAAGGGAGCCAAAGGTGTTGATGCCCCAGCGAGCAAGGACTGTGGAAAGTCCGACAGGGAAGCAGAAAAGGAGCTAGATGCTGAGGAGGCCGCCTTGTTTCGCAAGATGGCCGGAACCGCATTGTATCTGTCGCTGGACAGACCTACAATACAGTTTGCGGTGAGTGACATCACATCAGGCATGGCTCGCCCTCTGCGATTGCACATGCACAGGCTTCGCAGATTGGGCAGGTACTTGATAAACCATCCACGCGAGGTTTGGAAGTTTGAGTACCAAGAGGCTCCAAAGGAGCTGGTCGTGTACACAGACTCAGACTGGGCAAGTGACACCCGAAACCGCAAAAGCATGAGCTGCTATGTGGAGATGTTCGGGAAGCACATGATTGAATCATCGTGCGCTCGGCAAGCTGCCGTGGCGCTTAGCTCTGGAGAGGCAGAATTCTATGCCCTTACCAGAGGGGTAGTTGCTGGAGTTATGTCACAACAGATCTGGGAGATCATCAACTTCAACCTACCGGTTGTTGCAAGAACGGATTCAACAGCAGGCAGAGGGATAGCCCAACGAAAGGGCTGTGGAAAGGTAAAACACCTTTCCATCAGGGAGCTTTGGCTCCAAGACTTCGTTCAGGAGGGAAGAGTGAAAATCGTCAAGGAACCGAGGAAGACCAACATTGCTGATGTTGGGACCAAGGCCCTTCCTGGACCACGAGTTTCAGAGCTTGTGAAGATGATGCCGCTCAGACGGGGCTTAACCGCGGCTATTCCTGCAAGCTGCCTGTTCTGTACGGAAGCCCAGCCGACAGAGCCAGGTAACTTTGAGCCCACTACGTTTTGGACCTACGTCGTGCTGCTACACGTGTTGGCAGCGGTGGGTCTCTTCAAGTTGTGTCGGGACTGCATGTCCCTCTTCACGCGCCCCGGGAGGACTAGCCCGGAGAGCGCAGACGCAGAAGTACAAGCCACTTTGGCCCCTGTAACTTCTCTGAACGCGGGTAACACCGCTCAGCATCTGGTAAACATCCAGATCGGAACAGTCAACGATGTCGGGGGACGCCCTGGCAGGACTGAGGAAGCCGTGGGTGCGCCCACGCCGGCTCCACAGGTGGCGGCAAGCCCCGCACCTCGAGCTGAAGGCCCTGGAGGGGCCACCTCGCATCAGACTGGAGCGAGGCACCGGATCAACAGGCCAACTCCGGACAGACGCGTCTTTGTCACAAGTCAAGGACCAAGGAACTCGTTACCACAAGAACTCCTGTGGTGACCTCCGTCGTGCTCAAAGGCTAAGCCCTGCGAGCATAGTTTGCCTTCCCATCCAGGAAGCCCAAGCAACAGGCTACACTGCGTGTGGGAACTGCGGCGGTTGAGAACATATCCCGCCAACCTCTGTGCAGAGCACGAGGCTACATCCAAGGTTTGGCAAGCATCCCTAAGGGACACGTGCCATGGAGGGGTGTTAGGATGTATAGCCTATTCCTAGCACGTTTCTGCACATGCTTGCATAAGCTTGAGCATTAGGGAGTTGCGCAGCCCCTTCTTGCCCGAGTGTGAGCAAAATAAGTAGCACCGGGCGTCAGGCGACAGGTTTATAGGGTACCTCAAACCCTTGCAAATACACCTAAGCCTATCAGAAACACAGTAAAGCAGCTTCTAAATAGACCCAGTTTTGTTCACACACACACCCCCCCCCCACCCCACCCCGAAAGTAAACGATGAGCACGCCGTGTTGATGAAGAGGATGACGGTGATGGTGACCAAGTGGACGTCATTAAGCCCCCGACCCACCCCACCCCGAAAGTAAACGATGAGCACGCCGTGTTGATGAAGAGGATGACGATGATGGTGACCAAGTGGACGTCATTAAGCCCCCCCCACCCCACCCCGAAACTCACCCCTGAAGTGCGGCAAACGAGGGTGATGGACCGTAGTAGTAGTAGTAGTAGTAGTAGTAGTAGTAGTAGTAGTAGCAGTAGTAGCAGTAGAAGCAGCAGCAGCAAAGCAGCAGGAGCAGTAGTAGTTGTGGTAGAGTAGTATGTTGGTGGAAAAGTTTCTTTTGTAGTAACAGATGTTAAGAAATGGTGGGTGTAATGAGTAGTAGCAATAGCAGCAGCCGTAGTAGTAGTAGTCGTCGTCGTCGTAGTAGTAGTAGCAGTCGTAGTGCTGTAGTAGTGGCCGTCGTCATAATATTGGAGATGCCTTTTTTTGGATGCTGACGGGATTGTGCTTCTTCGTGCTGGGCATGCCGGACATGCCTGTGTTGGATGCTGGCTGGATTGTGCTGGGTTGTAGTACATGTTTAGTACTGGACATTCCTCGTTTCGGATGCTGGTTGGATTGTGCTTGGTTGTAGTATAACATTAGCAATCATGGCAACCCAACTTTATTTACAGCCAGCAGGCACTTTGATCTGGCGAAAGCAACAACAGCAGCAACAGTAAGCTGAGAAGTGTTGAGTACTGCTGAATTGGAAGCCAGTGTAGGGTTGCAACATCACAGGCAACAAATCAGTTTGTCGACTTTGCGAAAGATTTGCTGAACGGGAGTCATGGCAATATTGAAAGCTCGAAACAGAGCCCGAAAACGTTTTCCACGAGAGCCTCCACCAGAGCCGAAACCGTCCCCGAGAGCCCAACACCGTCCCCACAGCAGCCCGAAAACAAACCGACCCCACCGTCCTTAACGAAAAGAAATTTGCGCCCGAAGGGCGGATCTTGGTCAAGTCCAACTTGGCCGAGTGGAAAAGACCCTGGCCTTATAACCCTTCTCAGGAAAGCTCGCGGGCTGAATTCCCGGTCGTGTCATTTGGGTCCTTCCCCCACCCGGAACTGAGATTTTTCGGGAACCCGAAGCACCACTTTAGTGCTGGAAGTGCCACGTTTCGCGGCCTCACGGCCTCACGCCCTCGCGGCCTCGCGCCCTGACCTCGCGGCCTCGCGGCCTCACGGCCTCACGCCCTCGCGGCCTCGCGCCCTGACCTCACGGCCGCGCGGCCTCGCTCACGCCCTCGCGGACTCGCGCCCTGACATCGCGGCCTCGCGGCCTCACGCCCTCGCGGCCTCGCGCCCTGACCTCGCGGCCTCACGGCCTCACGCCCGCACGCCCTCACGGCCGCGCGCCCTCACAACCTCGCGACCTCGCGGCCTCACGGCCTCACACCCTCACGGCCTCGCGGCGTCGTGCCCTCACAGCCTGGCGACCTCGCGGCCTCACGGCCTCGCGCCCTCACAGCCTGTCGTTGTTGCTGTTGTTGCTGCTGTCATTGTTATTGTAAGTGCTATTGTTGTTGTAATTGTACTTGTAGTTGTTACTGTTACTGTTACTGTTACTGTTACTGTGACTGTGACTGTGACTGTGACTGTTACTGTGACTGTGACTGTGACTGTGACTGTGACTGTGACTGGTACTGGTACTGTTACTGGTACTGTTACTGTTACTGTTACTGTTATTGTTATTGTTATTGTTGTTGTTGTTGTTGTTGTTGTTGTTATTGTTGTTGTTGTTGTTGTTGTTGTTGTTGTTGTTGTTGTTGTTGTTGTTGTTGTTGTTGTTGTTGTTGTTGTTGTTGTTGTTGTTGTTGTTGTTGTTGTTGTTGTTGTTGTTGTTGTTGTTGTTGTTGTTGTTGTTGTTGTTGTTGTTGTTGTTGTTGTTGTTGTTGTTGTTGTTGTTGTTGTTGTTGTTGTTGTTGTTGTTGTTGTTGCTATTGCTATTGCTATTGCTATTGCTATTGCTATTGCTATTGCTATTGTTATTGTTATTGTTATTGCTATTGTTATTGTTGTTGAGGTTGTTGTTGTTGTTGTTGTTGTTGTTGTTGTTGTTGTTGTTGTTGTTGCTGGTGGTGGTGGTGGTGGTGGTGGTGGTGGTGGTGGTGGTGGTGGTGGTGGTGGTGGTGGTGGTGGTGGTGGTGGTGGTGGTGGTGGTGGTGCTCGTGTTGGTGTTGGTGTTGGGGTCGGTGTCGGTGTTGGTGTTGGTGTGGTTGTGGTTGTATTGGTTGTTGTTGTTGTGGTTGTTGATGGTGTTGGTGTGGTGTTGGTGTGGCCTCGCGGCCTCACTTCGTGGCCTCGCGCCCTCACCTGGCGGCCTCGCGCCCTCACCTCGCGGCCTCGCGACCTCACGCCCTCACCTCGCGGCCTCGCGCCCTCGCGCCCTCACCTCGCGGCCTCGCGCCCTCACCTCGCGGCCTCGCGACCTCACGCCCTCACCTCGCGGCCTCGCGCCCTCACCTCGCGCCCTCACCTCGCGCGCGCCTCGCGCCCTCGCGCCCTCACTCACGGCCTCGCCCTCGCGCCTCACCTCGCGGCCTCGCGCCCTCACCTCGCGGCCTCGCGCCCTCACCTCGCGGCCTCGCGACCTCACGCCCTCACCTCGCGGCCTCGCGCCCTCGCGCGCTCACCTCACGGCCTCGCGCCCTCGCGCCCTCGCGCCCTCACCTCGCGGCCTCGCGCAGCTGTTTCATTGTCAAGGCTGTTCTGCTTGCGGGCTACCCCCGAGGAAGCATTGTTTGAGGCTCCGTTCTGCAATCTGTTTATTGTGTTTTTGCGGTTTCAGGGTGGATTTTGAAGGGGATGACAGCTATCCGATTGGGGTTTCGGGGATATGATTGGCATGGGCTTGGCTGGGCTAGTTGGTCATGCCTTCGGTGTAGTGAATTTATTTATGCAACCCCTTTTATTGTTTCCTTTTGAAGCTTGCGGGCTACCCCTGGGGAAGCATGGTTTGAGGCTCCATTTTGCAATTTGTTTCATTGTGTTTAACTGCTGCCTGGATTGTGCTTGCTTGTATAGGATTAGAATGGCACTGGAAATGCCTCCAGTCGGATGCTGGCTGGCTTGTCCTGTGTACTGGAAGCTGGTTCTGGCTTATCATAGTTCTGCCATAAACATGCGATGCAGATTTTTTGTATGGCTGGGTGCTCAAGTCGAGGCTTTCGGATGTGCAACCGTGTCACCTGTATTGGTATACAAGAGGCCCGAAATGCCCCCCAAAAATTGTCGCCCGAAATACATATTCCATGATTACAACCCCAGGCAACTGTTTGGGCATCTGGGGCCCGGTTGCAGGCTTGTAGTCTTCCTAGAAGGCAATCGGCAGAAACGGCCCGAATAATTGCTTTATTAATCCGACTCCCAGTTATTAATCAAAGGTGAACAATAAATGTTCCAGAGCTTGCAAAGCCGCTAACGTCTTCTTTTGCGGTTCACACTCAGACTCGATGATGGCTCTCCCCCAGTTCGCCAAGGTGCAGTTATCGGGTGGACAGAAGGCTCGAGTTGCGTTGGCTCGCGCTGTGTATTCAAACTCGGAGGTGATCTGCCTAGATGATGTCCTCAGCGCAGTTGATGCGCACACTGCTCGCTACATCTGGGACCACTGCCTGATCGAAGGGCTTAGTCGCAACAAGAGGACTGTTATTTTGGTCAGCCATCAAATTCAGTACCTTTCACGCCCGGAAGTGGACTCTGTGATCATGCTTCGGAACGGCAGCTCGGTTCAGAGCCTAAAGAACTGCAACTCGGAAGCCAGCACATGCCAGCACAAGGGCTTTTTTTGATTGACTCAAGGGCAACATAAGGCCAGCTGTGGCTGCACGGGCCATGGAGCGAATTGGCGAAAAGCGGGGATGCTTTCCTGAGCCTCGTGCAGGAGTGGGACGTTGCCGAATCTCAAAAACCCTTGTCCCGGCAGTCCTCATCGAGCTCCTTGCAAGAGACAGTCGAGAGGGAGCGCAATGCCGATGAGTTGATCAGTCTTGCGGAATGCCAGTCTGCTGTGGGCTCTGTGCTGGGAGCCTTGGAGGGACGCCGCATTGATGCAGCCTTGATCCGCAACGTCCGAGACACCCTCAGCGGATTTGCAGACCTCCAGACCGATCTCATCCGTGAAGGCAGGTTCCCGCAATTGACCTGTGACGACCTGCATTTCTGTGACGGCAATCCTCGCCAGGAATGATCTCTTGGCCAGACTTCCGATTATACCTGCAAGCCTTCGGTTCCAGATACGTCATCACCCTCATGCTGTTCGTAATGGCTTTCTCCGCAGTGAGCCAGATCCTGCCCCTTGCCGTTAGAAGTGAAACGTCTTCTTACTGTTGTTTTGGGAACCCACCTATTCCATTCGCAGGCACGAACATGTAAGGAGCACTTTATATCTTGCTGAATGGACCAGTGGCAAAGAGTCGGCGACTGAGCAAGAGCACAGCGTTCTGATCTATTTCCTGATCAGCATCTCGACAGCTTTGGCAAACTGCACCCAAGCGATTCTGCTTACAGTGTGCGCTCTCCGCGCATCTCGCAGTAGCGCGGCTGCAGACAGACGCAGGCTGAGATGCGTGCTACGAGCATGAGAGTGCCATATGCCAGGCATCCATAGCGACATGCTGTGCAAGGCAGGGCCAACCTGTGTGTACCTGCACCGTCATCATTTGCTGAAGAACGTATTGCAGGTCTTGAGTGCGCCCATGTCCTTCTTTGACTCTTCGCCTACTGGTCGCATTCTAAACCGCTTTCTTCAAGACGTTCAGAATATCGACAATTTCCTGCCGGATTCTATCTCGGACCAGATAATGAAAACCTTGACGATTGTGACTCAACTCTCGCTCGTCTACATCGAGGCGCCCTGGGTGCTGTGCAGCTTGCCGATCCTCGCCGTACCGTATTCCATGATTTACCAGCGCATGCGAATTCCGAACCGCGATTCGCGCCGCTTGGAAAGCGCAGCTCGGAGTCCGGTGTACACCCATTTTGGCGACACACTCCACGGTCGCGAGACCGTGCGGGCTTTTGCGGCAGAGGCGGGCAAAGGGTCAAACTGGCAGCAATCATGCTATACATCCTTGCTTCAGTAGTTATCCAGCGTACATTCGTGAGGCTCGCTTCGAGAAGGAAAACTTGAGGCACATCAGCACAATGGCGCAAGGGCTGTATGGTAATCAAGCGGTTGGAAAGTGGGCACAGGAAGCTTCGCTGCACCTCCGGAACATGAGTCGACCAGGACTGTGCAGGTGAAGGGAGACAGGATAAGAGCCATGTTGAAGGTTCACAGCTTGATGGTGCTGTGTGTGCACCAAGGCGCTGACTACACAGTGGGGCTGCATTTTGTACTGCATCTCGGCGTTTGTGTGCGTGGAGCTATCCCGGCGAGGGCTTATGCAGGCGGGTCACATGGGACTGGTGCTACTATATTCTGCACAGCTACAGCGGGGCATGATGGACTACATGCGACTCAGATGTGAGAGCCATAGGAACGTGCTTCCCGATCCAGTTGTATGCAGCGCGCAAGACCTTAATCATAAGGATGGGGGCCGCTGATGTTGAGACTAAGTTTGTGTCTGTGGAGCGCGTCGCAGAGTATCTGCGCCTTGAAGAGGAGAGTTGGGACGGGGAGGCGCACGCCATGCTGGGGACTGCTTGGCCCAGCCAGGGCGAAGTGCGTTTGGAGGCTGTGACCATGCGCTACCGACTCCATCGCGCACTGGTGCTGAAAGGAGTCGACCTGTTCATTCCTAGCAAATCCAAACTGTCATTCTGTGGACGCACAGGCTGTGGGAAGAGCTCTCTATTCAGTGTGCTGAACCGTTTGTACCCACTGGCATCTGGCCGTGTACTGATTGATGGAGTGGACATCAGCCAGTTGTCGCTGCAGATTCTGCGAATGAGCATCCGCGTGGTGTCGCAAGAGGCATTCCTCCTATCTGGCTCCTTGAGACAGAATCTGACCATGGGCTCGAGTGAGCACAATGATGAGGTGCTGTGGCATTGCTTGTCTGTGGTTGGGTTGGCGGAGAAGGTGCGCGCTTTGCCTGGGAGTTTGGATTTCCGTGTGGACACTGCTGGTGGCAACTTCTCTGTGGGAGAGCGGCAGCTCCTGACTCTAGCGCGCGTCCTCGTGCCAAGCATCCCCTGCAGCCTCGAGGATTGGGTACCTCCACGCATGCTACTCTGCGACGAGGCCACGGCAAACATCGATGTCCTTACAGATGAGAAGGCCTGCGCTGAAGCCTCAGTTCGAGAATCCGCAGAGCCTGTCTGTGTTGCAGGTGCACCAGGTCGTGCTGGAAATGGATGCTACTGTATTGATGATTTGCCGCGTGGCAGCACGTGGTGCTTGGTCTGTCGCAGCTGTTGCAGTTACGAAAGCTGAGGCCATCGGCTGCAGCACATCGCTCGATTCCAGCAAGCAACTCTTCATGCAAGTGTAAGTCCTTAATTAGTATTCGCTGGAGCCGAACTGTTCTCCGCTGCCCCGGCAGTCTCAGTGGGTGCTGGTGCCGGTGCTGCTACTGCTGCTGCTGCTGTCATTCTTGAGAGTGCCGCGTACCTGTAGTGGCCTCTTCTACAGTCTCGTAGAAGGGCTTCGTCCCTTGGTCCTCCTGTTGCTTGACAGGAGATTGCCTTCTTACTGCTTCCGAGAGGCTTCAACGTACGCTTCGGACTGTTTCCTTCGTGACTTCTACAGGAGACGAGCTGTGCGTACAGTTCTACGTTCATTGGCTTGGAACTGCTGCCTCGAAGGGTGCAGGAAAGACTTGTTGCAGCTTGAAGTCAGGATGTGCTGAAGACTTCGGTGGATCACCGAAGTTTTTTCGCATGATTCCTGCTGTTGCTAGTGGGTTGTTCAGGTCGTGGTGCTTGACGCTGGCTTGGTGGTTGAGCAGGGCTCACCAGAGGAGTTGCTGGACTCTTGCAGGCGCGATGTGCGCCGAGACACATCGGCTTTGATGATGCTCCGATTCTAGCAGTTTTGCAGGAGGCCCCTCTCCCACTTGGCACGCCTTTGTGCGGCGGCGGGCCTCTGACTAGAGGATGGCTTGCAGTGCTTGCAGGACTTTCTGCAGTGTACAGATTCCATCCTACTTTCCTGCATCGCAGAAAGTGCAGCGGTCAATCCAGGGCACTGCTGCGCCCCAGACTTGCCCAAAAAGCGATTCTTTCTGGACTCTCGTGAAGACCGTGCTGCAGAGCCCATGTCTTGCAACGAAGCTCAGGCCCAACACGTTGACCTGCGAGTCTCAGTCTCGCCGCTCTCGCCTGGTTGCATGCCCGGCCGGGTGCCCTCACCGAGCGCCGAGCTCCTCGAGCTCCTCGCCTCGCACAGTCGCTGAAAGCACGGCAAAGCGACGCGCTTTTGAAAAACGAAGCGCCGCTGACTGCCAGTGGCCAGTGCTGGCAGGCCGAGTTCGAGAGCGAAAGGTCCAACCCCTTCGTCGCCCTCGTCGCCAATGTCGCTTGGCTATGTATAAACGGTCTGCACGGGTCCGCACCTCTTTTGGCTTCCGGTACTTTGCCTTAGTGAGACAGGTGCGTGTGAGTGCATAAAGTGGCAAGGTTGGAAAATGAACGCACTGTAGTTGAAAGAACACAATCCCAGAGACCCAACAGAGAGTTAAGCAGAGGGAGGCCTTTCTGATAGGATGTTCAGACGCCCAGCCGTTGCACGTGTTGAGGCTGACTTCGGACGTCATTTGGCTCAAGGAAAAGAAGGGCACAAGCAGAGTGGATGCCCTGGTTTTTTAGAGGGTTGGCCGGGTTTAAGTACCGCCCTTCCCTCTTGATTGGTTATCAGCCGTAGCTCTTTGGGCCTTTGGGTTTCCTTGGTTTCCTACTTAAGCCCGACCGCAGGCAGGGTTTTAGTGGTTCTCCCTTGCCATAGCGGGGGCGCGGCCTAGGGCACGCAGAGAGCTTAAACAGGTGGGGTGCTGCCTTTGGCGAACCGGCCTGCGTATGCCACCAAAGGCCCGTGAAGCCATTCAGAGGCGGACGGGCAAGCGCTAAGCACAGAAATCGCCACGATTATAACGCCCAAGACCGGATCATTGAAGAAGGCAGGCGGCTGTTTGGGATCCGCCTTGGCCGCGTTGAGTGCGTATAGTGATGCCTATTTTGAGTTGGCGCTCAACTTTGCCGCCGTCGAGGACCCGGACCGCTATCATGAGATCTGGGCTGAGGTCGTGGGGTTTTATCCGGAGTTGCGAGGGGCAGTGTCCGAGGCAGCTGGCCTGGACGAGGAAGAGGGCGCACCACCTGAGTGCAGCCGCGGCATTACGGTCCAGAGCGCCAAGGCCGCGAGCAGGTGGCAGCCCAAAGCCACACAGTCAGCAGCTGAGGTGAGGAGGGTGCAGCCAGTGGCGCACCAAAGTCCCCGCCAAAGGCATCGACTTTGGGAATAAAGGGCCCCACCAATCGACCTGTACTTTCCAATGCGGTCGGATCCTCTTCGCAAGCGCCGTCCGACGCTGATCTGGGAAAAGCTCCCGCAGGGTGCGCACGCCTCCGTCCCGACATGTCCGCGAAGAATCGAACTCGGGCTTCGTTTTCTTTGGCACATCGACGACTCGGGGCCGGAGGCGCAAAACGAGCAGCCGAAAAAGACCACGGAGATCGAGGTCGAGGTCGCAGCTGACGACGACGGGGGTGCGGCCCAACGCGCCAGGCCACGACCGTGCTGAGGAAGAGGAGGTGCGCCAGGAGGAAGTTATATGGTGGAAGCGGCACCCCCCGACTCGGAGGCCACAGTTTCCCCAGCAGCCTTGGAGACCTTCAGCTCCAGCAAGAGAGGTCCGCGTCAACGCGGCAAGCCAGCGCGGCAAAGGTGTCACACGCCGGCCGCTGATCCTGGCACCAGCGACAGGTTGGATAGTCAGGGTGCTTGGTTGGGGAGTCTGGTGCCGTGCCTTCCTCCCGGCGTAGTGCCGCGCCACCTCCAAGGGTGCCGCCCACCGCGCACCAGGAGGCACTTTGTCCACCTGATCCATTTCACCTGCCCAGCGACGTGTGGCTAGACCCCCGGGCTACACAGCTAGGGGTGTTCCTGAGCGTCTTGACACATCTGAAAGATTTCTCCGTTCTGTACGGGGTACTGGCCGGGATATCACAGCCCATGTACGTCTACACATGGCAAGTGCGCACCGGTTTGAGGACGATGATTTCCGAATGCTCTGTCCGGTTTGTCAACAGCAAGGAGTTGAGGGACACCTGTTTACTAGCAATCATCAATTCAAACGAAGCGGGTGCATTGTCAATAGTTCGCTTCTATTACTCCTGCAGCATGGCAGCTCAAGCCTTTACTACTTACCGGGCGCCGCCATTGCCGACTTGTCGTCCAGGGTCGGCACCCTCGATCGGGCACTACAGGGAGTGGCTTTCTGCAGCCACTGCCAAGGGACAGGGTAAAGAAAGGTCTGGCAGGTTGGTCATTTGTTTTGCTTGCAACTGCCGGATGCCAGACGACGCTGATCCCAACAAACCTCTCATTCTCACCGTGCTCTATCGGCCCAATATCGAAGGATTGGCTGCAAGAGGAGCCTTGGATTCGACCATGGTCGAGGAAGCTGGACTCATGGCCGCCTCTGGGAAACAAGCCAGGGCGCTTTTTACCAGGTGCCCTGCACCGTGAGGTGCTCACTGGTCAACTGGGGTTCACAGAGGAGTCGGTGCCGGAGTGGTTTTAAAGGAAAGGCCAAGGGAAGGGGTAAACTACAAGACTCTGGGGGGGTGCCGCCCTAGCGGGGGGCAGACAAGCGGCTTTCGGTGGACGCAGCTCGGGACACCAAGCGGCGTTGAGCTGTGTCTCTTCTGCGTTTATTGTAGTACGGCTTGGTCCTTTTGTTTGGTAGTATTCTGTTTGTTTTGAATGCTCGGCATGGCATTGCGGAAAGGATATGTATGTTTTTAAGATTGGTTTGCGCCGTGAACAGTAGTGGTCGGTACCGCCCGCCTACTTGAGTACAACCGGTACCGCCCGGTTGTTGGAACTATGAGAACGGTACCGCCCCCCGTTCTCGTGGTTGTGTTGCGGAGTGAGAGATGTTGCGTACCAGCAGCTTTCCTAGCTTGTAGTCTGTGTGCGTTACTCAATTTCGCTTTGTCGTTGTTCTGGTCGTTCTCCCCCCGGATCTCGGTTGCTGTTGTCTGGTGGTCTCTGGTCTGATATACCCCCCTTTAATAATAGGTCTAGCTTGGGGGTTTCGCTATGATCCCCACCTCTTTCCGGGGGTCGCGGGACCTATTCTCGGGGACAGTGGCAGTGGGGGGGGGGTCTCAGAAGGCCGTAGCCTCGCTTAGAACTTCTTTTTTGGCCTCGCTTGGAACTTCTTTTTGGGCCTCACTTGTGTCTTCTATTTTTGCTTGCCACTACTACTGGAGAAGTTCCTACCACTGCTACTGTTCACTGCTACTACTAGTCGTAGTGCTGCTACTACTACTACTACTACTACTATTACTACTACTACTACTACTACTACTACTGCTACTACTACTAGTAGTACTACTACTACTACTACTACTACTACTACTACTACTACTACTACTAGTCGTACTACTACTACTACTACTACTACTACTACTACTACTACTACTACTACTACTACTACTACTACTACTACTACTACTACTACTACTACTACTACATACTACTACTACTACTACTAATTTTATTGGACGCTGTGCAGCGGGCTCAGCACATTGCGGGCGATTGCCGCGGTGCACTCACTTGGTGTGAAACTGACTCAGTGGCCCTTTGGTCTCAGAAGCCCGAGAAACGTTAGCTTTTCGGAGAGGTGTGACTACGGCCTACGTGGCTGTTTGCTGATTGGCAGGGATCAGCTTCAAGTCTTGCAGCAGTCAACCTGATGCCGGGCGCCGCTCTGTCGGTCGTACCTGAAGAGCGAGACAGTGACGACTACTACTACTACTACTACTACTACTACTACTACTACTACTACGGTTGATGATATAAATCCTGCATTACCTTAAGGATCCTAAACTATGGGAATTATGGTATATTCCTTATAATGGGTAATGCAGGATTTATATCATCAACCGTACTACTGCTACTACTACTACTACTACTACTACTACTACTACTACTACTACTACTGCTACTGCTACTTATTACTGCTACAACTACTACTGCTACTACTACTACTACTACTACTACTACTACTATTACTATTACTACTACTACTACTACTACTACTACTACTACTACTACTACGACTACTACTACTACTACTACTATTACTACTACTACTACTACTACTACTACTACTACTACTACTACTACTACTAGTACGTACGGGTACCGCTGACACCCGGATAACCGGACTCAGCCATTGAGGGGGTGTGTTCAAGATGCCACATGAGGGGGTGTGTTTAACATATAGGATAAGTGGAATCTCCAGATGAGGGGGCGTTTTTAGGATTTAGGATAACCGGAATCACCAAATGAAGGGGTTGTGTTTAAGATATATGATAAACGGAATCGCCAAATGAGGGGGTGTGTTTAAGATAGAACTGGAGGGGGCGCTTAAGATATAGGATAATCGGAATTGCCAAATGAGGGTGTGTGTTTAAGATATCGGGGACCCGGAAACGACCAATGAGGGGATGTGTTTAACATATAGGATAACCGGAACCGCCAAATGAGGGGGGGGGTGTCTTTAAGCTCTAAGATAACCGGAATTGCCAAATCAGGGAGCGTGTTCAAGATATAGGATAACCAGAATCACCAAATGAGGGGGCCACAGGAGGGGGTGTGTTTAAGATGTAAGGTTTGTGTTTAAGATATAGGATAACCGGAATCGCCAAATGAGGGGGCGTGTTTAAGATATAGGTTAACCGGAACCGCCAAATGAGGGGGTGTCTTTAAGATATAAGATAACCGGAATTGCCAAATGTGGGGTCTGTTTAAGTTGCAGGATAACCGGAGTCGCCAAATGAGGGGGCATGTTTAAGATAAAGGATACCGGAAATCGCCAAACGAGGGGGTGTGTTTAAGATCCAACATAACCAGAATCGC